AGTGTTGACTGTCCATGGATGCTGTCGTTGGCCAGAGGAGACAGCTTGGGCAAAGGTCATGGTGGGCTTCCCTATCCCTATCCCGCCAGAAGTGGCCTTTCTTGTGGTCAGATCTCGGGTTTCCAGCCACTCATTCAGACATTTGGGGAAGAAAGCGCTGAACTCCTTGGCATGAGAGTATAATTCGGTTCCAGCTTTCTCAAGTGTCTTATCGACTGCTGCAGCACATTCCTGAAACATTGTCATCCTGGCTTTATAGAGATGCTTGTCTTTAGCCAGTATTTTGGCTACTTGGTCCTGGCACTCTGAGGAAGAGACCTTGTTCCCTGTATCGCCTCCAATGGCTTGGTCTGTAGAGATTTCGTTTGATTGAGGTACTTCCATATCAATGATGCTGCTAGTATTAATATTTCGGGATTTTCCTTTCAGAGGGGAAATAATGGAGAAGTCAGCCTCGGAGACCTGTGACGGGCTGCTGTTGATGTCGTCAAGCAGTGCCTGGCGGAGCCTGCTTGGGGTTGCCGGGTCATGTGTTCTTTTAGGGACTGGGGATTTGAACACGCCGCCAGTAGTCGTCTTTGGGACGGCCACTGGCGTATTTGGGGGCCTGTCGTGGAAGGGTGCCATCCAGCTTGTGAGAAAAATTTTCTGCGCCTTGGCAAGGAAAGTCAGGTACTGAAATAAATGCCTGTTTTAGTGCAGATATAGAGGTTGCGCCCTAATAGCGGGGTGCCAAAAAAAATAGTTGTTTTTGGTAAGAGTGTGTCCGCGGATCTGGTACAAAATTACCAGTTGCGTATGTCAACCAGGTCCGGGTGGTATGACTGTTTATACTTACGTCAATTTATCTCGTTGCAGGAGTTCGTGCCTCTGCAAAGCTCTCCTCCCCATCCTCAAGCAATCCGGATGTTTACATCTAAAATTGCCGGAAGCAGTCACCGTCATATCTGGAGCGAGTGGCTTGCCGTGACCATCTTTATCGCCATTTTGCTCAACAACTGGGGCCTGTTCTTCCGAACGGATCTGGCTGGCCTCTGGTTCCGATCGAGACTTGATACAGCACCCTGAATGCCATGATGGGTAGGTACAGACAGGTCCGAGCTGATCCATTCCTGGGGAGGAGCTACACGGTTGCTAAGTGATGAGAAGAAGCTTGGGACGATCCATCTTCTCATATGAGTCAGATTACATACTATCGCAGGAATTATTAGTAGGCACGTACGTAGAATTTGCAGAAAATAACTGCTGGTGATATAGTGCGGGATGCAAGCTTCCTGACGGAGAAGGATGCGGCTGCGGGCCAGAGGGCGGGGAATCAAATAAAGCTTTGCTGGCCGTGATTTGGTCGAATGACAAGCAGACCGGCTGGGCGGAAAGTAATGGAAGGTCGATATCGTCCATGTACCCCAACAGGATACCGTTGACTCCCAGGTAAGGGTACCAGTGGCCCAACGTTGATGATGTCTCGGCCCAGTAATATGCATTCGGTTCTTCGGGATGTTGATATGCCATTTGCTGGAAAATCGACTTTAGGCTCACTACTAGTTGGCCTTCATTAAGGGCATCAAATCTTGGACTGCATGTGGGTGTATGTCTATAAGTTTGATAAGCATGGGAGGTTTGTGGTGAGTAAAAGTCCTAACGGTTGGAGGTCGTCCGGTCCAGCGTCCTCCCATCGATGGGCAATTTCCGTCACCAGAGTCGCCAAAGTTTCTGTAGGGAGCTTGACCGCCAGAAGTTGCCTTATTCGTAAAGTTAGGCTGGACGTTTAAAGGGTTGATCGGGCCCTAATCGAGACCGAACAAGTCGCAGAGCGTAACAGCAGCCGTGAACGAGACATAGGTCTCTGCAATACGGCGCCTGGTTTGTGCAGTCTTCCTGGTCCGCGGATTCTGAGTGAAGACCTTTGGCAGCTTGTTTCGCCAATTCTATCGCATTGAAGGAGATGTGTTGCGTTAAATCAATTTGAAGCAGGGTAGTTGCAAATTCGACAATTGCTGAGGGACTCTGAGAGGCCAAGTGTGCTGAAACGTTGTGCGGCCACTGCACCCTCCACCTCCTGGAACGACGAGGAAGACCGCACGACAGCTCCAGAGCGATGATACCGAGGGACCAGATATCAACCTTATTAATAAGTCAATGTCCAATGACCGATCTCGGGCGCGACGTAGTCTTGGAGAATATTTTTGGTTTCCTCATTCCCTTTCTGAATACTTTGGCATAGCAGGGGGGAACGGAGGTCTAGGCGGTGGTGAAGAAAATAGGGCAAACTTTGTCGTGGTGTACAAGTGCTCGTTCCCAATACCCACATCTATTTCCTCTTCATCCTCTTGGACTTGTATTCCCGTCGGGACCACCGGGCCTCCCGCGCTTCCCCCCCGTCGGGGGAAGGTGTTGGTCTGCTTGCAGTTCATCAGGATTTTCTTCATCCCCGTTTTTGCGGCGGTATTACCTTGGGGTCATCCATCTGGTCCTTCAAGAAAAGCTATCTATCGGGGACAGATTGTTGAAAAGAACTTGCTCTTCTCCACGAATTTTGACCATTCTGTGCTCCTCTCCCCTAAGTATTGTAAACAAGCTACCCTAGGCGAGTACCTAGGCAGCAGCCGGTTTTTCCCCAGCCTCTTACAAAAGACAATGTGTTGTGGTGTTTTCTTTTCATCACAACTGCAATGATCATTCGAGTCTGTATGCCCAAAGCGTTCATGGTAAACTGGGTGGACAAAAGTCTCCGCCCGACCCACCACAATCTCCTCAGACCTCCATCAGATCCTTCAAGCTCCCCAGTCTTCCAACGATTTCGGCCGATTTATCGATTTGACGGACGGAGATGCTGTTGCATTCATCGAGCTGGCAATCAAGCACCAGACGAATGGGTTGAACAATGACCCGCTGCCTATAAAAATCGGGGAGGATACTATCCAATATAGCGACACGAACTGTACCGTCTGTTTCGAGCTTGATCTCCTCCGTGCATTTCTCTTGCAGAGGTTTAGACGGACATCCCAAGACGCCCAATACGCCCTTGCAGAAATAGTCAGGAAGAACGAAAATACGATCAAAGCCCGGTACGAAACCGTAACAAACAAACTTCGTCAGAATTACCCTAACAAGTCGCAGGACCAAAGGCAGTTAGTGGCCACGCTTTCGCGATAAATAGAACCGATTATCTGAGTCGACTACGATTTCGATGATGACTGGCAATACTGGACATGGATGTCATGGGCTGGCATTACTTGTTCCCGGACAGGAGTATCTTGCTAGATAATGTATTGACGCATGTATTCACACCAAAGTGACGCTGCCCATTGCGCACATCCAGCTGCAGAACCTGCATCTTTTAAAATACCGCTGTTTAACACAGATATGGAGAACCCAAAAATCCTCTCCAAGACCCAGGATGAAAAGAGCTCGAGCTTTGGAAAGCGGCGTTTCTCACAGGCCTCAAGGCTTCGACCATAGAACGATGGGGTAAACCACCCTAGATCGGGCAAGCATTGAGAGAGCTTTGCAAAAAGGATTCAAGCTGCACAGGCGACTACTAGAAGAAGTGCCACGGCGGCGCGACAAACTAGAAACCCATTCAATGGGGCATTTGTTCCAAGTGGTCAAATAGGATCACCTAAAAGGTCATGACGGCATGAGGTCGTGGACTGGGATCCGGAAGAAAGACCCATCTGTACGAGGGCATCAAATCCTGGACTGATGTGGGTGTATGTCTCCAAGTTTGATAGGCATGGGAGGTTCATCGAGTGCAAGGCACGTCCCATGGTCAGAGGAGATCAATAGAGGGGGCTGCATTCAGAGCAAACGTATGTAGCTACTCTTGCTGGAAGATCGTTCAGAAACTTGATAGTTCTGGCGGCCAAGTTGGATCTCGAGATGATCCAGTACGACGTTGTCAACGCATTTGTGCAAACCCCCATCGATGAGAAGATCTTCATAGGGTATAAAGGATTACTATGAAGGTGTAAAGCTCCTGCGCTATAGAGAGATGCCCCTCCCTCGCTACGAAAGCAATAATGTGAAAGGCGAGGAGGGTGAAGGACATGAGCCCCACAGATTGGTGTGCTTAGAGAAAGACTCGAAATCCCTTGATTCAAACCGAAGAATAGCGGCAGGCTGTTTAAAAGGCTAAGTTCCCGGCGTATCGAGCTGCTGTAGAGACCAACGGGGCTTTAAATAAGAGGCAAAATATGTTGCCGGTGATATAAACTGCGTATGCGTTAAGATCTAAGGCGCCTAGCGGATCAACAAATCGATGACAGGCGAGGACCACCCTGTGGCCAAGCATCTTGAATCCTTGAATACCAAGGTTCATTGCGGAGCCCAATTGTCAGATTTGAGCCAAATGTCAGAGTGAAGTGTGTGTGTGTGTGTGTTCCCTCTGTCTAGAGTGTCCTTGTGTTGGATTAAAGGTACGCCTAGAAGGCACCTTGACCGGTAGACAACGGAACCTAGTTGTTCTGTCCCGATCCAGCCCTCTCTGGCACATACCGCCGGCGGACATCGACCAGGCTTTTGAGATCGTACAAGACACCTCCCCGCGGCTATTAATGCGGTACTGACACGTCCTCCAGAGCCGGGCGTTCTTCGAGCTGCCTGTAGATGAGAAGCTCAAGTCTCCTTATCCCGCGGCAGATAACCCACATCGAGGCTACAGCGCCTTTGGCGTCGAGAATGTCTCAACGCACTCGAATTATGACGCAGAAAATCCGATGCCATTGCTCAAGGACATGAAGGTAGGTGGCTCCCATCGCCCGTCTCTTCAGATGTGCCTACAAAGTTGCATTGTCTTGCACACACGTTCAGCAACGTGTCTCTCCAGGGTGTCTCTCCAGGGGTGGGGTGGTTGCCCTCTGGCTCCACCACTATGGCAGACAGACGCGCTGCACCAGGATTTATACCCCTATCTGTCCACAGCAGGTAGACTTAGAACAATAAGCAATCAAGCATGTATGAACCGAATATTCCGCATAACAGATTCTCACAATTCGTTATTAGAAAGGCTCCGTATCTAATATAGCGCCATCACTTTCTTGCGATTGCTGACTCCCTAGGCTCAATCGCGGGGGCGCCGGCCATTCTGATGTCTCCCACATAGGATGCGCCAGTGCCGCCTGTGCTGTCGGTCTCAACCCAGGTTCCATCGACAATAAGTTTTGGACATGGGACTTTTCATCATGCTCAATGTGGTCTTCTGTGCAGAGGTCGTCCAAAATCTGCATAAGCATGCTATGGCGCTTGCGATCGGTCTTCTCGAGTGGCTTGGGTTGCCGGAGGATATAAAGATGAGCATAGCCCAGGGACCACACGTCGATCGCACTGGTATACTGGTAGCCCTGGCCTCGCGGCACTCCAGGCTGAAAGTTCCAGACCTCCGGTGCCACGGTGTGGATAGGTCCGATTCCAGTCGCGTGATGACCAGTAGCCTGGATGGCCTTGCCAAAGTCGCAAATCAAAGCTATCCAAGACGAGGCGCTTATACCGGGTCTTTCCAGCGTGACAAGCAAGTTCTTAGGCGAAATATCCCGGTGCATAACGCCGCGGGAATGAATATGGGCCAGGCCCTTTGTCACGTCTTGGAAGAGTTTAAGGCGCAATCGCGTGTCTCGATAGGAAGTGAAGAAGCTTTCGAAACTTTGTTCGGCCAATGGCATTGCCATATAATAATCATCGAGAGGATAAGCAGAGCATGGTGGCGAGTCGCCGTGGCTACACCACGTATCTAAGAAAGGCACGATGTTAGGGTGTGGTGACAGTAAGCCGGCAATACGAATCTCGTTTTTCAGGTCCTGGGTATCTGCCAATCGCTTGCTATGGGCTACCTTGATGGCGACAGGTAGCCCATTAGTAGCGTTCACGCCCACACTGATGCGGCCGAAGGAGCCCGCTGCGAGTATCTTCCGGTGGATGATATAGTTGTTCGTGCGTTGGTGCTCGTCTTTCGGAACCACGTCGAGATGAACATTTGGCAGAAGTCCGTCTCCCTGTGAAAAATACTGGGCGCGATTGACAGTATAGCGGGCTTCGTGTTCGATGGCAACGTCAAGCACGAAATCGAGTTGCCTAAGCCCGAATCGTAATCGGTTGCGCTTCATCCATAACACACACTGGTCACCCCGTTGAAGGGTCAAGTCTCCACCAGAACCTAGTCCAGACAAGTACTGGATGGGACAGTTTGGAGACACGGCCTTGAGTATGAAGGCCCCGGACTGCCCTTCGACCCAGATCAGAGCCACCACCGGCGCCGGGAGTATTGCTTTGCTGGCTTTGACGAGGATGTCGACGTTTCTATCCTTTAGCTTGCTCGACCCGCGCCCGATGACCCAGCTGCGGAACGGCCCAGTCCGTTCTTGGGAGAGGTCGAGAACAAAGCGGTGCCGTTCTTTATTAGCGCCAGATATGGGAATCTGACCTATTGCAGATCCCAGGGGAACCGCTGCTATCTCCTCGGCGTCCGTATTTGCTTCGCTTTCAATACTCTCGAGGAACTGGCGGTGATGTTTATGGCTGTCGGAGTCGGCCATGATAATTGAAGCACACTTAGCCACAACATCCTGAGCAAGGTCGTTGTCTGGCGACAGTGTCAATAGTCGCGTTGGACTTAACAAGGCATCCATGGCGGCAAGTCTAAGTATGCAATGGACCAAAAAAGGGGTCTTGAACGATCTATCAGTCTACCTAGGAGGTAGGTAAGTGACCTGCACAACCGTCGGGAATATCATGATACCCCAGCCCCAGCTTGGTCACTTGCGGGGGAGCTGGCGGACTTTACCCCGCATGAGTATCATCGAACGAAACGATTAACATCAGCCACAATAGCCACACTGTGGCTGCTTCGTCTTCCCAATACCGGTGCCATAACCCACGGTGGATCGCTATGTATCCTCCATCTCAGATGCCAGCACGATCTTAAACCTTTACTTGCCAGCACTCTATTCATCATGTCGAGATCCCGCCAAACCATACGTTCGAACCGACAGCGAGAAGCTGATTTCGCTGAGCTAGTCAGATTACAAAACCGCCTTTACCGACCAACCTCTCCTACTCCATCGACATCCTCCTCCGAATATTCCGCCGGCGTGGTAGAAGCGGTGAAAGAAACGCTGGCAAATCACAGACCTTCTGACTGGGCACGCTGGTACCCGAACATGGGTTTGGACGACTCGTTTTGGGGGTCATACAGGACGAAAGGCACATACGCCGGTCTCTCGAATGCGCCACCCAGCGAGACTTGCAGCTGCGAGATGGAACAGCGCTCCGAGCCACGAGACGATGACAGATCAAAGCAACGCCCCCATCGATGTCTACACGACCTAACCCCAAGCCCTTCATCTTCACCTTTTAAGGTACCGCCTCCCAACGAGCTGCAACCTTCAGCGCCTACTCCATCCTCGCAACGCGAACAGCGTATCGAACGTCCATCGACACCTACCACCAATCAGCAACTACAAATGCAGCGCGAACGCCGAGTCCCTGGGGCGCAAATACCAACCGCTTTCCGCACAACTCGAGCCACATTACACCGGGTAACAAGGGAGACACGTCGGAAGGCAGGACGAATGAATCAGGGCATGGATCTCTGGGAACTTGACCATCGTGGTAGGCCGCGTCGAAGTCGTCGCGCAAAAGAGCCTTAGGTTGGAAGTACGATATGTCCGAGAGGTTACGTATCATCGTCTATTTGCTTTCCTGGGTCTAGGATTTCATGAGGGTGCAATGGTTTCTGAGGGCGTTGAACGGTACTGGACCCCCCGCCCATTTGGCTGGCTACGTCTACGTGTACTTGGGCCCAGGTGAATCACAATATTTAGAGGTAATTGGACGTGTCGATCCTGACCATTCAATTTCAAGAAGTGTACAGCAGGGTTATGAAAGCGATATGCATCTCACCATGTAATCCAACATGTCCGCTCCGGATATGCATGCGAGACTACCCATTACGAAATAGACAACAGAGGTGTATGTTTCGCATGTAGGTATATGGGTATACCAGCTGTATAAGGTAATAGACGGGTGAAGAGAAGACCAGGTGATGATAAATGCTATCAGTCTATCGATTGTATTCTATCTTCTTGTATCCGCGGTGTTCTGATGTCTGGAGGCCGTGAACCAACTGCATCTTGTTCTTCAGCCAGACCTCTGGTACGCAGATTGGACATTGCGTCCCGTCGTCAGCATCTAGCTTCGTCAGGTGTGACTTCATATGCCTCGCTGCCATGCGCGTATTGGAAAATTGACGACAGAGTTGGGTCAGATTTGGGTCGTTCAGGGGCAGAGTGAGTGGCTTCCCCATACAAATGAAACATCTTGTCAGCCTTTCGCCTAACGAGCTTCTTGTATTTCTTGACGACGGGTACATGTGGGTGTGAGTGGTATGCCTTGCCGTTGGTCTTGACCGTAAGAGCGAATATGCTCTTGGCGTCCAACTTTGCCTTGACCGTTTCGAGGGCATCCTCATCACCGCTCAGTCTGACGCCAGAAGGCGAGTTGTGACAAGCAGTAAATAACCACCTTGCCCGCGACGTCGGACAGGTAGGGCTCAACCGCTTCGGCACCAAGACCGATAGCCATGATGGCACCGCCGGTGTTAATGTCCTTGACCACCTTGTTACGGTAGTAGGCCACGATAATGGCCTCCTTGGCCGACACAAGGAAAGCAGCATAGGCTGCCGCGATCTCACCAGAGTTGTGGCCAACCGTGACCACAGATTTAACGCCCCAAGCCGCGGGAATCTGGACGACGGTAACTTGTATGGCGGTACACAGGAGCTGAGAGAATTCAGCTTCGCTTACAGGGAAATTCTCGGGGTTGTCGAGGAGGACGTCCTAGTCGGGACCGTCAGGCAGGTCGAGGCTTCTTATGCTAATTGGCCTTCTTCCGACCCTGGCAGGCACTTCCCCGTGATGACGAGCCTTCTAGCTTGGCAGAAGCGCATTCGTAGCGCACTGAAGGATCTTGGATTCGTAGTCGCGGTATCATTGTGATTAGCTATGTCGATGACTTCCTTATTTTCGGAGCTAGTCGGGAATGAGAAACTCCATGGCACCGCCTACACCATCAGCCATGCGGTGGTCGACGAGTTTCTCAATCTCGTATTCTCTACCATTAGCGCTATCTTCCGTGTAGCTGGGTGCGGGACTCGATGCTTTTCTGTCGCCTCTCAAATGGATCTTGTGGATTGGTTCGATATCCGTGGCTGAACTGGGAGTTACGAGGTCAACCCCAAGAAGGTTGTTGTTGTTATATTTAACGCCAGGGGATCAAGCCGCTACGCGGCGATCGCGAGAAGGGCATACAGGCGTGCTGGGCTAGGAAGTACCAATACGGTATGTTACAAGGAACTCACTGACCCGAATAAACGAGATGGCGGGTGCACGCCTATCTGCATCGTAGCAACCATCGGCGAAACAGAGATTATACGACTCATTTTGGAAAGGCTCGGCACTGATCTTAACATGACGGACTCGGAAGGCAGGACGGCATTATGGCACGCGATAGCCGGAGGAAACCATTCAGTATCAGAACTACTCCTAACGCAAGAAGATACCAGAGCTATCCTGCCGGTCTGGAAAACACACCCTGGACATATCCTATACTTTGAATCACAGATTCCTCCAGCAGGAATTCTTACAGAGTCAATAAGAAGACGTCACGGCCTCCGACTCGGAAGAGTATACCAGAGACACCCTCTTGTTGGCAGGCTCCAAATCCAAGCTCGCAAAGAACCAACAAGGCTACAAATGAGCTTCCAACTAGTCCCCAACTTCCAGAGACCAATACTCACCAAGCCATCATGGAAGAAGCCACCAGCCCGTAAAGACAAGGACAAAGAAATAAAGCTCTTCAAGTAATAATTACAGGAGAGAAATGCGAACATTGACCTCGTCATCTACTCAGATGGATCACAGTTGGACGACCAAGGCACAACCCGCACTGGATGGGGTTATACTATCAAGAAAGGCGGCACTACACAAGAAGTATACCGGGGAAGGGGCAGACTTCTGCAAGCAGAAATAGTGGATGCCGAAGTCCATAGTACTCTCCAAGGTCTTGTAATAATCAGGGTAATTGGATACAGAAAACAGCTATATGTCTGCCTGGACAACACATCAGTGGTGGATGGGCTCAATGGGACTCCACCCGAGACATCACAGAACATTTTTTTGCGATTCCAAGAACTCGCCACAGCACACACTCCTGGAGTGACCGTTAAGTGGATTCCTGGACACAGAGATATTGATGGTAACGAAGCTGCCAACATATTAATAAAAGAGGGTGCTATGCTAGAAACAGACACAACAAACCTTCCTATAATCTCTTGGGTCAAGAGAGATCTCAAGAGAAAGGGCAAGAAAGAGTTCAACCAATAATAAAAAGACCAATCAGAACCTAGATATCAAGAAGTATACTCACATACAGTAACTAAAAGAGGCCTTATATCTTTTATGAGGAGCACTCTATACAGACTTCTAGCGGCCAAATCTGGACATGGCGACTTTGCCAGATACCACGAACGTTTTGGGCATACAGACTCGAATAACCACTGCAGCTGTGGTGAAAAGAAAACATCACAACATACTTTCTTTTGTAAGAGACTGGGGAAAAATGCGCGAGCTGACTCCGCGCCGAAGCAGGGAGTGCGTCAGGACTGTGCCAAGTCAATTTATTCATAAAATGCAACAGTCCATACGTTAAGATTGCCATTATCCAGTGATATGTACCACTCGACATATCCTGACTATATCAATATACAAGATAGTTAATAAAAGATAGTTAATACAAGGATGTTTGTCTCCTTTATCGACCGTGTGCCTTGATGGCTCCTGACGCAGTGGAGCAGAAGTTACACAATACGATCTTCTTTCGCGTTACAGAGCTGGAACCGCACAATCCAAGTGTGGACTCCAAAAATGTCCTTTGCAACATGCTGCACTCCTGTCGCAGATTTGTCGCGAGACTCAGCAGGATCCGAAGAGAACGACACCCGCCTTGACAATCGCAGTGTACATGTAGTGCTCAATTACGGACCAGTCACAACGCATAATGTCCTTAAATCTAAATGTCCCCCCCCACGCTGCTATCAATTGAACTTGCCTGAAAACCCCGCATTTTTACAAAACTCTTCGTAACGACTACCATTGTGGTTCATCATGACAGACTTGGTGAAGACCAACAGACGCCGTCTATCTTCCCCTAAGCTTCCTCTTCCCTCTTGCGAAGGACCAAGGCTTCGTGCGTTCCAGTACAGAGACAAGCCGATCGAGTGGCTGGGTATGCTAGACGATAGCCCGGAAGTCCCATCTTCCAGTCGTCAAGGGTACGTCTTCAAGGTCAAGGTAAACTCGAGAATATACGCCTTAAAGGTTGTAAGTTAAGGTAAAGCGCAAACCTCAAAACAGGACAATATCTCACAAGTCGCTAGTTCAAGTTCTTCAAGCCGACCACGTACAGGTGGCATCTCGGTCCGGAGGACGGGAGGAAAGTATCAGATGATACATTGGAGTTCCACACGGATCCGTTCTACGCCGAATGCCGCGCATACGGGCGCCTGCAAGAAGCACGGCGGAAGCAGGGCCTCAAACGTCGTGACTTCGCCGACTGCCACGGCTTCCTGGCCTTAAGCAAAAAGGATACAGCATATATCGAGGAGGAGCTAGGGATCGAACTCTGGGATGTCCCCCCAAGCGACGAATACCGCCAGAGAGCACAAGGTAGCCCTATACGCGCCATAGTGAAGGAGTTCATCACAAGCGATCCAGCCATCGACTCGCGAGCCTTGGCAAAAATGATCAAGGGTCTTGGCTGGATCAACAAGAACGGCGTCCTTGTGTGGGACATACATGCCCGCAATTACCGGGGCGGGATCCTCGTCGACTTCGGCTCGTCCTGGACAAGGCCTCATTGCTTATAGGATGCCCTGCCCGAAGATCAGAAGAAAGACGTACACTTGAGCGACCGGGCTCGCTTCCAAGACATGGCCGATGACCTCGGCCTCGTGGACGGCACCCATGCAGTGGCAAGCATTGACTACAAGATGAAGTTGAGACCACGGAAGGAGAAATCATACCCCCGCTAAAAGCAGGCTTTCATCAAATGGTACGAGTTTCGTTAGCAGTACGTCCTCGGTCTGTAAATGCAGGACCAAAGGTTTCTGTTCTGTAAGCCATCCCTTGTGGAAGATGTCGTCTCGTGTTGTCAGCGGGAATGCTGCCTAAAAAGCTGGTGAGCACGGGTCATCCAGCAAGCAGTATCGACGCCGGCGCTCTTCCCATGCCAGGGCATAGGAACTTCTCTTCTGATACAGTAAGGAGAATTGCGGATTGGTCGATCTGCGCTGGTTTGCAGTTTCACCACTCAGCCAGGGCTTAATTTATACCAGATAACTCACCCCCTTGACTATTTACGGCAGTCGATGCAACTTCATATCTATATCAAGATCCGTGACCATCATCTCATCGGCGCCATGCATGACCTATCTGGCAGCTGGGATGTTCCTCTGGATGTGACTCTACGGACAAAAGGGAGGCATCCAAAGCGTCGAAGGCTCTCCTTTTGGATAGGATCGTGACCAGCTGCGAACCAGGGGTAATGTGGCAGGTTTTACCAGATAAGGTATGTTACAACACTCGGTCACGAAAAGGGTTAAGAGTGTCGGCTCCCGCAATAGTCCCTTGCACGAGGCTGGGGTACTCATGCAGTTGGCAGTCTGTGATCCGTACTCTGTATACCAGGACATGTTCACAAATATCCATCCTTGAAGGCGAACTGATGCATCTGCTGTGCTTGTACAGGTCTGCTGCTATTCGAAGACAGCTGAAGCTCTTTTGTTTGCAGACATCCATGTCCCTGTTCTTGTTCTCGGCAGGATCCATAGAAAGGATGTTTTGAGTAGCATTGTCTGCATCACAGGCACCTCACCATGACCTTGACACCGGCCGGCTGAGTGCCCGGCTGCCGCGCTTGAGACGTTGCTGCATGAAACCTCCTAGGATCATCGTTATCTCAAGTAAGCTTGAATACAACCCTAATGTTTTCTTCCTAATCTGTGTACCCCAGAGTAGATCTCCGGCAGAGTTATGGTCCCTGTCTAGGGCGGGAGACGTTCCGTGATAGTGTCATGGCGGCCAGGACATCCATATATTAAGGGAGATATTCTCCCTTGGTGCTCCAGTCATTCCCCGCCTACTCATCATCACCTTCGTTCCTTCTGATACTAAACTTTAGCGAGGAGCTTCTTCCTCTACGTTCCTTCCCTCCGCTCAAAATTCAGTCTTTCCTTTCCGCCGCACAGCCCAGGAGGTATCCCACCAATGGAGTGGTCAAAACTGGTCATACCGGCCCTCCTAGCGTTCCAAACCACGATAGCAGCCGGCGGCTTTACCGCATTCAAGGACTCGGCTTACACCCAGCCGCTGGAGATCACATCAGACGAAGAGACGATCGTGAACACGCTCGTAACCGACCGGTCCATCACGGACTGGGACCTCGCTGCGGGACGATGGTACGACGCCATGGAATACCACAACGCGACCTCGTCGGGGTCCGCCAGCGGCACGGGGTCGGCAGATGTGTACCTGGAGCGTGAATGATCTTGACGTGGGCTGCCAGCTCATCATGATGAAAGATGTCCAGCAGGCGTGGCAGACGATCAACCCGCTGCCGGGGAGTCTCATCCTGAGGGTGGCCATGCCCGGATGCTACTATTCGTCGCTAGTGGTATGTTATCTATCTCAGTTGACGAAGTAGCCATTGATGAGCGGGACCTCGTCGACTCTGCCGGTGAAAAGGCAGAGACCGCTAAGCGTGCCCCCGTCTCCAACGCCGGTCGTGCGGTCGACTACGTGAAGGCTTCGAAGAGGATCATTTCCGGCGATCCCCTTGTCGGGCGTGACGATGTGCCTGCGTGTACCATCTCAAGGGGAGCAGGGACTCCCTACAAGACCAGCGGGATCCAGCGTTCCGTGACGCAGCCCGAGATCTGCGACACGGGCCCCGGTACGTGCTCGCACTCGGTCTCTGTGAGCACGGAGGCCAGCACGGCCCTGTCGAAATCGTCGTCGAGTTCCTGGACCGTTACTGGCGGAGGCTCCGTAAGCACCACCGTTAATTTATCTCTTAGGGGTGACGGTTTACTGACGTGCATGCGGCTACAGATCGCCGTCGACGCCGGAGTCGACTTCGTCGTCGACACCAAGGTCACGACCACTTTCAGCTACAGCGTTGCCAAGGCGTGGAGCAGTGAGACAGGGACGACAATTACGACGAGCACCACGAACGGGACGACGCAGACGTTGGTGCTGCAGGTGGGCACCACGGCTTTTTTATCGTTTACGCCCGACTACCAGTGCTGGCAGAGCGATGCCAACTGTGGTAAGGATGCGGACGGCAACGATATCATTGTATCGGGTGTCGACTTTTGCCAGCCATTGACTGGCGGCGATGGGAAGCTGTCGGGAACTTGCAATGTGGTGTATATCTCCAACTAAGAGGTGTTGCTTGTAGCTAGGTATGTCGTGATGGGCTGGGCTTTGCTGCTTTCACCTTTTCATCCTTTTCCTTCTTGAATTTACTTACTCTTATACTGCATGTATATAGACCTGTTCGGGAATAGCAGTCATTACACCCCTTATGTTAACGTCTGTATAACGTGTCAACCATGTCGAGAGCAACCTTTAACTGAAACGTGTCGCAAGGTTCCAGAATAGAGCGAGCTGACTGCTCCTTGTGATGTCCTGGTTCATCGAGGGCCGCCACAAGTCTTATAAGTAGTCCTGGGAAGTCCTCTCTCCACGCGCTTAAGATTGAGTCGATGGATAATGATTCCCCTTGGACGAGCTTTTCCGAGAACTTATGTACGATCTGCTGGCCGTATGGCGCAATGGTCAAATGCGCCTGGTTGTGTTCTCGTTTGTGCGGTGGGCGACGAGAACAAGTGGGTTCGAATCCTGTTATGGCCCCCTTCTGACCCGGCTTGTGCGAGTCGACAACCAGCACACGACAGTGGAGAGGCCCCATTATCGCAGAGCCTGATAGCCAAACAGCTTGTCTCCACAACACCCACTCTTACGAGGTTTTTCCCCTTGTGGTTTCCCTCGCTAGCAGATAACAAATACCTATTTTACCCACCAATGCGACATATATCGAACGGCTACTGGAACGATATGTACACCTCTACAACCTTGCGATGCAATGGCTCTGGGAGGCGTGGTTTGCACTACTGAGGAGCTACCCCCCACGTTAAATACAAAATAAACAAATATACAGTCCTTGCACTGATTGATTTTTGGAGCGAGTGAATAAGAGGGCTAGTCTTTACGCGACAAATGAGATACGTATACACGACATGATGGGATGTCTGCGTGAGAGCGGGATAGGTGATATGAGCGGTTGCCTTCTCGGCGAATGTCAGTGGGCACCGGAATTTCGCGATAGCTGGCCCCCAATAGAAAATGTACATTCTCCCGCCTCGCCCCGCCACTCGACGAACAATATTTTCGGTGTATGTAACATATACACACCCCCCTCAAGTCCTGTGGAGCGCGAGGCAGCGAGTGATTTGGAGGCTAATAGGCAGTATGAGCTGTCCACGGCTACCATGTCTCAACGTACGGAGCCTTGGAGGCAATGCCGGAGCCGGCGCGGCGAGATGGCATACTTGCGAAGTTGCGACGGTATCAGGGCGAGAGATTAGGTTCAGTCAAAAGAATGCAAGTCGCGACCATGGACAGAGCAATGAATTGACTTCGAAAATCGTGGCTTACAGATGGACGAGCACACGCAAGGAACGTGTCTGGCACAGAAAGGCGAAGAGCATGACTCTCCCTGGTGTGCGAGTCACTTTACAGGGGAATTCGGGGGCCTATCTCTCGTACTGGAGTTACAGGCTGCCGGCCCAGGGTCGTCATCCACTTGCCAATGATGTCCGGCCACAGTGTCCCTAGGCCAGCAAAATGGTACTGCCGGCCTATCCTGGCGACCAGGGTTCTTGCATGGCTACTAAAGACATCCGATTGTGTTATAACCCCCCGCCGGGTTTCAAGCTCACTGGTCGAGTAGGAGATAATCATGTCTGTGTACCCAGTGGGAAGACACTGTTTGGATACCGCAAGCGCGGCCTGCCATGCATCCAAGGCAGGTTCTACCTGCCCTTCCAGGTGAGTCACCATGGCTGCAACCCAGACCCAACACACATCTTTTCCAGACGGAAGGCAATGAACGAAACCCTAGCATACCCATCTAATCACAGTACATAGGGAGCAGACCCCCAGAGTGGGGGCGTTCTCCAGATGGACCAGCGGGCCCTTTACTTCGTCTTGCATCTATCTCATTCATTATTATCAATTCAGCAACTTGCAACCCAAGCTTAAGTCTTACATTACAGCCTTTTATCCCATTATTGACAACGGGCTTCTGTGGTCATCATGAATCTCGACTTCCCGCCACAGCTCCTGGTAGTGCTGCACTACACCTATCCCTTGGCAGTCTTTCTCTGCTTTGCTGTTACCTCTATCACCGCGATGTTTCTGTCCTTATTGGGAGGTGCCATGTAAACCCATACTAAGAAATTTTCTATCTGTTGCTGCCTTCTTCTGTTCATTAGTTGCTTTTGCCTCGAAGGGGCATTCAAAGTCGCCGAGGTGATCATATGGCATCACTGGCCTCCAGAGGATGCCATTGTCAGCTTACTCTCATGCATCCTGGTTTTCGGCATGGAGCTTGACGTCCTCACAGGCGCTTCCGATGTCATATGGTATCGATTTTACGGCTCATGGGCGATTGCTCTTCTTTGTGATCTTGCAAACATCATACTGCTACTCGCCCGGATCCAAACCCCCTTCCCGAATTGCGACACGTTACCGGTTCTCGGCCATGCTTTCCTCGCCGTTGTCCGATGCATGCTTATGCTTAGCGCCTTTAAGATTTATTTCTCTTGCGAGAGTCAGGTGGAACACGGAGAACGTGACTCAAAACGTTCGCTACTTTCCAACACAAAGCGTAAGCCGGGCGGTGGGAACACAGTAGCAAACGGCGGTTACGGGGCAAGCTCGTCTGTTATGAGCACCATAGCAGGCAACACAGAGAAGGGGAACTGGCTCGACAGTGTCAGGAGGTTCTCGATCTTATTTCCGTACCTTTGGCCTGCCAACAACCGATGCCTGCAGCTTCGAGTCAGGCTGGTAGGCCTCTGCCTGCTAGCCGAAAACACAGTCAACTTTCTCCAATCGCGTCAATACGGAGCTGTAATAGACTCCTTGAATAGAACTTTAGCAACGGACCCATGAGTTCAAGTCGCCGTTTTTACCGGCCTCCAATTTCTATTGTCTAATGCCGGGATTTGCCTGGTACGGCAGTTCCTTTGGAAGCCTTTGGCGTGCTATTCGGAAGAGGCACTGATAGTCGCGGCATACTCACACATAATGAATCTTTCTTTGGCGTTCCACAACTCAAAGAGCTTGTCCGACCTTAAGATGGCTCTTCTGAATGCCGAAATGGTCTCGGGCATGCTCGAGGAGGTCTGCTTTCAAATACTACCTGCTCTCGTTAACTTGGTGGTTACTTTTGTCACGGCGAGCATACCAAGGAGCTGAGACATGGCCGGCAGCAAGCAGCTAGTACTCTATTGACAAGAATATCAAGACTAGAGAGGAAAGGAAGAGAGAGAGAGAGATAGGTATAGTGGGAGGTTGCCCCTTTAAGGGGATCCTCTGGTCAGATCCTTCCCTTATTGGGAAGTATCCGCTTGTCATGTGGGAAGGTCTGTGCAGGCTGTCACACTACCCCCCCCTTATTAAAGTCGGTTTATGACGATGATTTCTTCCGAGTTCTCCTTACTCCTTGTGCAGAGCCTCTTACAGGCAGGTTGTCTTCCTTGTGATCAGTTAGGTCCTGATCATCAGCAGCGGCCTCTATCCATTGCTGTAACCTTTGAGGGGGACCTGGCGCCTAGGGATTTGCGTCGTGGAACTCTTTAACGCGTACAGCTGAGCCTCTGAAGTTAGCTGCTGGGTACCACATCGGGTCAGGATCATGGCCTGTCCATTCAGCCTGGTAGTCCATTCAGCCTGGTACTCCAGCTTGCCCCGGTTTAGGCAGGAGGACAGAATTTTGTTAATTTCCTATTCAGGAACCCCATCCACGTCGACGGGAGGCAGTGGAGGGATCACTTGACCTGGAACAGGGTCACTTGGTGACCGTACTAAGCGGCTTGCGTTAATGACCCGAAGAGCGTTTATCCCAGGGGGTAATTCAATCTCAAAGACGTTCTCATTGATCTGTTTGACAACCCGATATGGTCCCATGTAGGGGTTGTCCAACCCATCATGTGGGCGGTCAGTACGCCATGCTCCTTTGCGGACATATACCATATCTTCTGGCTTCCAGTCAATTGGTCGTCAGGATTTGTCAGCCTGCTTTTTGTACTTTGCTTGTGCCTTGAAAAGGTTGGTTTTGGCCCATGCCACGGCCTGTGCCCGGCGTTCAGCAAACTCTTGAGCATCTGAACGACTCAGCCGCTCTGTAATAGGCATCTTTCTTGAGAGAGGACTGCGTTTATCCCAGTCAAACGTCATGACTGGAAGAAACCCCATTTCAACCTCAGCTGGAGATAAACCGGTACTTTCATGAGGTTGTGTGGTATAGGCAAAATCCAGACAGGGTAACAACTGAGACCAGTCATCCTGAAAGTGGCTTATAAAGGGTCAGAGCTTGGTCTGGAGGAACTGGTTGATGATCTCTGTCTGACCATCCGTCTGAGGGTGCTCTGCAGTAGAGCGGCGTAGGTCCATCCCTGTGAGCTTGGCTAGTTCATCCAAAAAGGCAGCAATGAACTGAGGACCACGGTCTGAAGTCACAGTCTCAGGGGTGCCATAGACCCTCCAAGGTCCATTGAAATATAAGATGGCAAGGTCCTTGGCTGTACATGTCTTATATGTTGGAATAGACCACGGGCGGTTGCCTAATCGGTCTATCACCACATAGATTGTGTCATAGCCTAGCTTGTCTTTTGGCATGGTCTTGAAATCCATAGAGACATGTTGCCAAGGACGATCCGGTATGGGCAGAGGTTGTAGCAAGCCGGCTGGCTTGAGACGGGAATTGCGGCCTCTGCCACATTCTGGGCAATGAGCGCAATAACGGTCTATAAAAGCACCCATACCTGGCCAGGAATAATGCTCTGCTACTAAAGCACGCATCTTGTTCCGACCAGGGTGTGCACGGGAAGGTAGTCTGTGAATCTCATCACAAAGCCGTGTGCGTAGGTTCCCCTCATCAGGTACTATGAGGCGTCCCTCTTTCAACAATAAGCCATCAACAAGACTGTAACCCTGCTGACTATGTTTGGCTTTTTCCTGCTCAAGGAGTAGGGTCTCTGAAGAGCGGTTGGCTGTCAAGATGGCATCAATAAGCTGAACACCCTCTAGAGAACCGTCTGGGTCCTGGTTGTTGGCTTCCAAGGTGGCCACAATGGCACATACCAGGTTGTCCTCTGGACTAGGTGACGGGTCGGTCACAGACAGGTCAACGGGTCCATTGTACCTTTCAACAGGTAGGAGGATCTGGCGGCGACTTTCATCCTTGATGGCCTTCTGTGTAGCCAGATCTACAGCTTTCCGTGATAGAGTATCAGTTATCAGATTCTCTCTATCTGGACGGTAGGAGATGGTGAAGTCCAGGCCCAAGATATCCTCACTCCAGGCTGCTTGTCGAGCATTAAGCTGTCACTTAGTGGCGAAGTACTGGAGTGCCTGGTGATCTGTGAAAACAGGAAGGGGATGCTGAAGGGCAGTGAGCATGTGGTTCCATTCTCACATGGCATAGACAATTGCGGGGAGCAGGGCAACGGTGTTCTGTGTTCATGTCAAGTAGGAACAACCTGTTGGTTTACCACTACCCGGGCAAACCCAAGCTCGAAGGTCGAATGTACCTTTACAAAAGCTCAACAAGGGATGGGGTAGGGTGAGATGTTCATGTTGCGAAGCTGTATGGTTATCGTCGCATCTCGGTCAGCTGTTCTGTTACGGTCGCACAGTGGGTCGCTGTGCGGAGTAATGCATATAGTACAGAAATAGGAGTCAATGACCATTCGGGTCATTGTTGAAGCTTTTGCCTCATGGCGCAACGGTTGTCCTATACGCGTTGTAACATGTTCCCACCTAGGACACCCATTTATACGTGGCTGTGGCGAAAGTACGTCATCAACGTCAGCTTCGTAGGTGCTGGAGTTACAGCACCTCTGAGACGGGATGGGCCGGCTTTCATGTGGTCAGGACTCAGGATCACACGAGCTGTGTACTTGTTGACTTGCGCGTGCTCTGTACCCATAACTCGATATTTGAGAAGGCTGAGAAGGGCCCGTAGCAAGCTTCTATCTATTTTCACGAGGCAAGCAGTTGAATATAACATTTCGCGGCTCTTTTCGACACTTGAGCGTTTTGTCCAATCACATAGGACCATGGGGCTTGCCCAGCTAACGGTCGTTGGACCTGAGTGTCAGAAGGCCAACCATAGGGAAAGAATGATGACTTATTGATCTGCAGGGAGCTGCAGTACTGATGAGGTGTGGCAGCGATGTATATGTACATGGAGCGTTCTTACTCTCCTCCATGCTACCTGACCAGACACTGAGTCATACCCATGGGCAGAGTCTGCAGGATACCTGAGCTACATACCTTGATACTGTGGCCAAACGAGGCGGTCTAGCGAATGCTTCCTTCATAACAGGACCATGACAGGAGTCCGGTTGCTAAAGGGCACACCGAAATGATATGCGCTTCTTAGTCGTTGGCCTGATAGTCTCTATACTGACTGGAACTACAGCATCGTGTTTCTCGGCCGCATCGCTTGCCCCTGCTGAGTCAGGTAGCACAATGCTGCCTCGCCGTGTACGCTCTTCTTCAGTCTGAGCCGAGCCGCAGACGAAAGCTACTACGAGCTGCGTGACCTGGCATACTTGTACTTTGCTACGTGGGGTATATAGAATGTGCATGTAGCTTTGAAGGCCTATAGCTTGGACACCTGTTACCGATACTTCTCTAGTATATGCTGAACCACTTCACAACGTAGTGTCTAATTGTCATGGGACTGTTTCAGTCGAGGTAACGTTGTCCCACAGCTACGACACCGTTGAAACTAAGTTTCACTTCGCTTATGATAACGGTTCTCCCCACCGTGTAATATATCAGAAAATCACCTGCCGTGGCGAGCCTCCTGCGAACTCAAGGTCACTCGGATCGTAACATCAGTGTCTTCCGTTCATTTCCCGTGATTACACCACCCAGGTAATGCCAGTGTAGATTCCACCACAGGTCTAGATGGGCAAGACACGACACAAAGTAGTGAGATTCTCATCAGTGCACAGCAACGATCGATTCTAGCGATACGGGAAGGCTGCCTTGCACGAAGATGAGGCGTGCGTGGAAGTTTCAAGCATAAGTAGTAGGGCTTGCGGACTCCCACTGCAGTGCATCAGTTTCCTCAGGTCCCAACTCTTCTGCAGTAGACATCCCAAACCCAGGACAATCCATTCAGTAACGCGTCAAGCTAGAAACGATGAAGGTCATCTACCTCTATATCCCCCTTGCCCTTACCGGTACCGCCATGGGCGCAAACTGCCGCTATGACACGTACATTTGTGCGGACGCCATCAAGGACCAGAGTACGTACGAGAGATTTTTTTAGGAACCTCACTACCCCCCCCCCCCCCCCCCCCCCCCCAATTTGTATTCAACACCCTCCGCCAGACTCCTGTCGTCTGTGGCTAACCATGGGGTTTCCTCTTTCTTGCAGCCTCCGTCGAGGATAGCGCACACAGCAAAGGCTGGGGCAAGGGAGATACAAGCAAATACCTGTTCTACTGTGAGAGCCACAACTTTGGATCAAACAGCCTGGACTTTGTGAGGTACTGCCCCAATGGGTGCTACCGGGACGACCGCGACGAGGGCAACGATGATTACTGCATCTTGGAGTGAGTTGTCCTTCCCTTAGAGTCCGCCACGGACTTCATTTGTAGCGACAGTTTAACGTCTGGCTAACATCTTATTTATCAGCCCACCGGCGACTGGATCTTCGGATAGATCCTAGTGCCGCAGAGTTCAGCTCAACCGAACGGAGGAATGGGCCAGTAGGATCACGACCGGAGCGGTGATTGTGGCATGGAGTCGAAAGTGAGTAGGGATAAGGAGAATGCTGCAACCTTCAATTCTTGGGTCTGGATGTTATATGTACTGTGTTCGCGGAGAGAGAGGTGCGATCATATTCCCGCCACATGTTTAGCCCCGACAGAATGGGACATTATGGGAAATGTTTGTTTGTTTGTTTGTTTGTTTGTTTTGTATTTAACGTGGGGGGTAGCTCCTCAGTAGTGCAAACCACGCCTCCCAGAGCCTCTGCATCGCAGGGTTGTGGAGGTCTCAAGATAATAAGTACAGTCAGTCCCGCTCTCGGGCCCATCCCCGTTGTTGCGGCGGTATGACCTTGGGGTCATCCATCTGGTCCTTCAAGAAAAGCTATCTATCAGGGACAGATTGTTGAAAAGAACTTGCTCTTCTCCACGAATTTTGCCCATTCTGTGCTCCTCTCTCCTAAGTATTGTAAACAGGCTGTCCTAAGCAAGTACCTAGGCAATAACCGATTTTTCCCTAGCCTCTTACAAAAGAAAATATGTTGTGGTGTCTTCTTTTCACCACAGCTACAGTGGTTATTTGAGTCTGTATGTCCAAAGCGTTCATGGTATCTGGCAAAGTCGCCATGTCCAGATCTGGCCGCTAGAAGTCTGTGTAGAGTGCTCTTCTTAAAGGATATAAGGCCTCTTTCAGTTACTGTATGTAAGTATACTTCTTGATATCTAGGTTCTGATTGGTCTTTCCACCATTGATTGAACTCTTTCTTGCCCTTTCTCTTGAGGTTAGGGTTAGGGTTAGGGTTAGGGTTAGGGTTAGGGTTAGGGTTAGGGTTAGGGTTAGGGTTAGGGTTAGGGTTAGGGTTAGGGTTAGGGTTAGGGTTAGGGTTAGGGTTAGGGTTAGGGTTAGGGTTAGGGTTAGGGTTAGGGTTAGGGTTAGGGTTAGGGTTAGGGTTAGGGTTAGGGTTAGGGTTAGGGTTAGGGTTAGGGTTAGGGTTAGGGTTAGGGTTAGGGTTAGGGTTAG